AGACTTAGTGTATGTACGTATAATTGGAGATAGATAAGTTATGTGACTAGTTGTTTCGGGACCTTCATGAAATTTTTTTTACGAAACATATACTTTTTAACCATATGCATATAACCAATAGCTATTAAAGAAATAAATATTACAAAAAATAATGTAGATTTTAAAATTTATGATTACCGGATTATTTCCTCATTAAATGTATTTAATATACATACAACTTCATAATTATAAAATTAAATAGAAATGTGTGAAAGTTACTTTAAAAATAGAATCAATTTTAATATAATAATTATTATGTATTTATAGAAGATTCTTGAGTTACCTCTGACTTAGAGAATTCAAAGATGAAATTCTATATTTAAATATAAATAATCATAAATTATTTGGAACCGAGGAAGCTATATTTTTAAAAGAATAAGAAAGGAAAGTTGCCATTAAAAATTATTTAATACCTGCATCTTACTAGTATTATTAACGCAAATGTTTGTTGATTTTGATGGATGTTTGTCATTCTTTCTCGTAAAACTACTGAACGTAACTGAATAAAATTTGACTTAAAGATAGATTAATGCCTAGGTGCCAGTAATATCACTTAGAGCATTTTTAATCAGGTAATTTGTTAAGATTGTACTAAATGACGATATAATAAAGTCAAGAACAGAATAATGTTCATACCAGGTTTCCATGTGTACATATTCTTTAAAAAAATGTAATAAATTCAAGTATTATTTAACAGTTACACCAAGAGGGAGAAAGCACGACATACGTTACTTTAAAAAAGAATAACCAACCTTTTACTTAATCACAATAGAACTAAATTAAACTTTCAAACCATCAAAATAATCACCAGCCTGTAAGCGCTTACTGATAGCAAAGGCCTTCTCACACGCAGAAGGAACGATCACGAATCACAACTTAATCACTAGTCAATTATAATTCTCATATATTTTAACAGAATGACCTTCATCTTGACTTTCCAACAAAATTTTTAGTAGCACGGTAACCTAGAGTCTTTCATTGTCAATGGTATTGGTATGTAACGAAACGATTCTTCCGATCAGACTAGTTCACGATCACACTTTAATTTTATATTGTAATTGACCGTGGCGAATTGATTTCACGTTGACAGCAAAAAATAGATAACTTACTTTAAGTGAATTTGAATTGTTAAACCAATGTGGAACAACGTTTCTGTGGTAATTCTTCGTGTGAGTTAAGTTTTTTATTATCTTTAGCCGTTGTCGTCACTGCAGGGCAAATGCCTCCCTCGGCCGGGGTTCCGGGCTAAGGGAAAGACCTCGGTCCAGATCAGAGCAGAGCAGGAGAATGAACGAGAGGTTTTAGTCAGTAAGAGTCTAACACTCTCTGACGCCTTGCCCTGGGCTTGAGAAGTCATTCGATGATTTTCCCCTGACAAAAAAAAGGCAAATGTTTCCCTACCCTTCTTTCACTCCTCTCTGTACTAAGCTTTCTGCTTGTCGAGTGAAGTACCAGAGGCTTTATTCTCCTCTCCATTTCGCATCCCGAAATAGTAAATTTTCCAAGGCTGACAAATCGCTTTTAATACTTCTAGTGCTGAGTTTGTCTATGCGCGGCGCCATTACCTTGCCATCAGGTGTTCCGTTTGTTTTTAAAAACGTAATAATAACAAAGCTTTTTAATTTACTTTTATCATTACAAAGTATTTATTCTGTGATGAAATAAAAAATAGTTACTGCATAATAAAAAGCTTTCTCAAGAAAGCAACTCTATCTTAGAACGCAAATTCGATTAGGTATAATAAAGAAAAGTTGTAGTGTACCCTTAGGCTAAGTATAAAACCCTTTCTGATGGAGAAATTGTTTCTTCTGCTATTTTTAAAACGACAAAAGGAAATAAATGACTAAAGGCAGATTCTTTTGTTTAGATGTTGACATATACTGGATGATAATGGTCACTATCAAGTGTTTTTTTGAGTCGACTTATTAGTGACTTCCGCGTCCTGGGTGGGTGAGATTGTTAAAGTCTTACTGTCCAAAAAGCACCCCGTTCCTTCTTCTAATTCAGGCCGGAAAAGCGGTTAACTATTGCTCTTGCACCCGTAACCATGGCTGACTATCAAAATGCGAATGATGAAATAAATATAACATAGTATACTGTATTCATAGAAGCTACACCCATCATTTTACTTGTAACATACGGTCAGTAAACACGGACGGCAAGGTTGGTGCGGTGGCTCGGCAACTGGTTGCCGTGAAGTGCCGTGTGTTCGATTCCCGCACTCATTGTGTGATCCACAAATTGTTGTTCCGGGTCTGGGTGTCATGTGTATGTGAAATTGTATGTTTGTAACTGCACCCCACGACACAGAAGAAAATCCTAGTGTGGAGTAACGTTTTTTTCGTAAAGAAAAAAAGTGAAATTATAACTAATACTGATAATAATATTCCAGAGTCAAAATGTCAGTAATATTTTGCCCGTCCCAAGAACCATAGAAGACTAGAAACTAGGTAGTACTGACTGAACCTATTTTTTGACCCATTTACGTAATACAAGGCTCTACAAGCCGTGATTGTCATGCAAATAAATTAGAATTGCTTTTTGATTTGCAACACTATATTAAATCTTATGAATCACCACAGCCTAATGAAATATGAATACTTCAAGAATATTATTTTTAAGTTTTAGAATGTCGTGTAGGCTCGGAGGTTAAGGAGCCCGCTTCTCATGCATGAGCGTGTGGTTTCGAAACCTGGCAAGTACCAATGTGACTTTTCCGAGTTATTTGTACTTTCTATGATTATTTAGACTAATTTCAAATTATTATTTTTTTTTGACTTAGTAAACTACCCAATTATTTATGTTTTTAAACGCACACACACGTACATGACGACACAGGAGAAAATCCTAGTGTGGAACAACGTTTGCTTTTTTTTAAACAAAAGAACAGAACAGAAAAGAACAGAAAGGTACATTACAAGCAAAACCGTTTACTTGACTATACACAGCCTGCTAGTACTTACTCTGCAGCTCCACAGCACCCGTCCAAGAGTTAACCGGTTTGCAATCCGATGAATTGCAAATTAAATGTCACTTGTTCAGGATATAACTACTGGTAAGTGTCGGTACTGTGTACCATGACCAGCTCTTTCTTATTAATAGAGTCATTATGACTTAACTAGTTTGAATTGTTTTGCAATTATGTAACTTAATTGATAAATCTTATGGCTGATTTTAGGAAGTAATATGAATGTAATACTTGACAAGTAATAGTGTGGGTGTCATTTATAAGTAACCAAAACAAATTAGGTTGTCGTGAGCTTCATAAAATCTTATTTAAAACCAGTCTTAGTGGCTTAAGGCTTGTTAAGAAGAAGAAGTATTCCAGTAGATACAAAGAATGAACACATGGATTCTTCTCTGCTTAGTAACGAGATCTTATTAACATGTCTCATTATTTATCTCTAGATTACCTAAGAATCCATTCACAATAAGAATAATAATGTCGGGTCTGCAATCTTACAGTAGTAAGTATATTATAAATTAATGCGGATGTCAAGATATATATTATATAGTAATCGATTGAAAATTAATGCTTTTAATTTAGTTGCAATATTTATTAACAAAAAAACATACTTTGCAAATTTATTAATAAAAGACTTTACGTTACGAAAAAAAACATAGCAAGAGAAATCATTCAATGTACTTACCTACATATTTTTATTAGAGATTCCGATGATTAAAGCCAAAGAAACAGGTAATAACATTATTATTTTTAAACTAATTATTTTATCCACAAAATAATTTTTAATTCCTGAATAAAGGACAGGGTTCGGTGTGTAATATGTAATATATAAATAATATAAAATGCAAATTAAGTTCTATTTCATTATTGACACAAAAATTTCGAAAATTCTTTCATCATTACTAGTTTATGTTTATTACAGTTTTAGGCAACTATATGTCAGAAAACACAAGTATCACAAAAAAAAAATCAATTAAAAATCAAGAAGCACAAAGTTCTCCTTGGCGTATGATTCTTGTTTACATAACGTTCAAAATTCTTGTCATTACGTGTACACAAATTGATCAAAAAATTTGAGTAATTTTATAGAAAATATTTGGGAAACTTTTAAATATAGAAAGACTAAGTTTACTTATAATATTTGAATGGTATAGTAATAAAAATATGATATAATAATAGTTTTAATTTACCAATTTTTCCCGTCACATTGATTCAAAACCAAAAAATTGTGTTCAATGCGTTAGACAAAAAAATGCGTTAGTCCTTTTATCCCCGAAGGGGTTGGTTCTACCGGTACACAATTCTACACAGTCCAGGTACACCGACTTATCACCAGTTAAATAATGACTCCCATGTAATTGGGATTAAGTTTACTGCCATACACTGGGTACACTGTCAGACGTCATAGGTACTACAGCTGAGAAATTTTCGAAAAAACACAATAATACTTTGACCAACATGAGATCAGAAACCGAGACCCCTTTCTCGGCAGTCGCGCTTGCGCCCACTCAACTAAACAGGTAGTGATTTAGCAAGGAAAATTAATCAAAAATATATTTTAGAAACAATTAAAGCAACATTATAATTATTAAGTAGGTACTTTTAAATAACGTTTTGCTATGATGTTCTCATTTTAACGAATATTAAGGTTTTTAAAATTACCTATCAGCAAATAAAAAGAACACGCAACAAAACATGGAAATAAAAATAATTACCATAACAAATTGCCGTCTCATATTAAAAGAATATTCTACTAACAACTAAGCATTATCAAATTATTATTATGAAAAATGACCTATGTAACTTCACTTTATAAATAGGTTGCATATTAAAAAAAATAGATCACCAATTATTTACTATAATCTAATTTGCAAAACAAAGCATGCATTAATAAAAAAATCGCAAAAGCCAAAAAAAATATCGCAACGCAAAAAAAACAAACAAATTACCCTTAACACGTGACGGTAAACACTTAATCGCACAAAAAAACACTTACGATTTAGTTGACTCGATATTGTATTGAATCTTGGAACGCGTGCGCACGCCTTAGCCGTCTACACACACACTGATCGTATGGCGCATGCGCCTTCCCCACCTTAAAGGCTTTCTTCCGAATACAGTCCATTTTTAGAGATCACCAACTGCGCAACCGATGATTGCGTCACAATATAGTGTTGTAACTGCAACGTTTGAATCTCTTATTAAAAGTACATAAATGTGGGAGAGCCATGCTTTGACACGAATGGGTCTGCTCGATCCAAGTAATACCACGGCCTTATAGAAAATCGACGTGACAGCACAGCATTGTGTTTCGCAGTGTACGTCGCCCATACGTTCCCAATCCTTGAATATCTGAAACCCTTATCCCTTAAAGGCCGGCAACGCACTCGTAACTCCTATGGCGTTGAGGGTGTTCATGGGCGGCTCTGATTGCTTACCATCAGATCGCTAGTTTGCCGATCTATACTATAAAAAATAAGTACCTTCAGACGAAATACCGAGTTTTTGTGAAGAAGAATATTCGATTCTTGTCTCAATTAATCCCATTAGGTATCATGTTTGGTATTTATATGAGAGACCTGGTCCCTATTCATATTAGTCTCGCACATTGCAGCAACTGTTAGGTCACATCCCTGGAAAGATCTACATCTCCCTTGAGCTTTGCTAATCATGATACATATGTCGTCATTATGTAGGCAGTGAGTAGGTATGTATAGCTGTCACAACAAACTAGCTTATTATGCTTTACAATTAATGTCCTAGTCTGAATAATATATATCTGTGACAACTTTATAGTACTAAATCATCATCATCATCAGCCTATAAATGCCCACTGCTGAGCAAAGGCCTCTTCTCATACGGAGAAGGTTAGAGCATTAATCACCGCTTGCTCAATGCGGGTTGGCGATTTCAAACTTATAACTTATAAGTCCAGGTTTCCTCACGATGTTTACCTTCACCGTATGTCAGTGGTATCTAAATAATCATAGAAAGTACATATAACTCGGAAAAAGTCACATTGGTACTTGCCAGGTTTCGAACCCACACCCTCGGGCACGAGAAGCGGGCTGCTTAACCTTCTCCACCACGACATCAATAGTACTAAAAAGCCAATCGATTTTTATGTAGCACTCAATTCTAACTTAACCATACCTAATATTTTGTTAGCAACTTGGTATCAATGAAAATCTCTAAATCCTACAATTAACTCACGATCTTAGAAAAAATCTATTCTACAATCTTTTAATTGAGTTGTGCAGTTCATCAACTGAATCCTTTCGCCCAGGATGAGGCGGGGGGGGGGGGAGTTTCAGACTTATGGACTAAAAACCTCACCGTCCCCTTTTCCTGCTCTTGCCCCATAACCTCGGTTGAACATTGACCCTGTTGAGTCCCGTTTCTGGTGGTATGAAGAGCCTACCGTACGCTTGGAATACTATAAAGTTAATTTGGTACATTTTCTAAATATTTTTTAAGCGAGCTAGTTATACCTCTCAAAAATCATTAGAAAATTGACTTAAGATTTTGAATGATTGCACAAGATTTTATTATAGCTAGATTTCCTAGCTGAAAAATCATTCTAAAATACGTTATGTTGGTTGAATATCTATATTTGCATGCCTCAAAGGTAGAATGTATATACATATATGGATTCTCTTAAATCTGTAACAGCCTGTACATGCATTCATCGCAAAAACATTTATTCTATTCTATTCATCGAAATACATTGCGAATTCTATATGGGAAACCCGAAATACAAATACAATAAAGTTTCTTTTATCGGTGGTGGGTGCATCCTATCGATGGCGCCGATTGCGCACCATCAGGTAATTCGTCCACTCCTACATAGCCCCATGATAAAAAAACATTCCCGTCAACTAGAAATACAACTTTTTGCCATTCTATCCCCACAATACAGTTTATGACAACTTTCAATGCAATACAAGAAGTATTGCATTAAAAGTAAAGCAGTAGATAAATTCAAAATTTAGGTATATCGTCAAATAATGTTTGTTTTAAAATATATGGAGTAGCTGATTATTGAAAAAGCAGCCCTAAAATAAAATAATTTAGTTTTGGCCAAGAGTTCTATCTAAAATGTCGATCAACAGTACAAACAGTATTGATAACAGGCGTTTCCCATCGTCATCATCACCAGCGGGCAAAGATCTCACACCAAGAACCCACTACTCTTATCCAAGGTGAATTATTTCAAACTTGTTTCCCTTCATCAATTACCTGAACGTCTGAGAAGGCACGTAGAATTCGTAAAAAGTCGCATTACCAATGTGAAATTGAGCCAGATTTTCAACTCGCGCCCTCATAGACGAGAAACGACCGGGCGAATAACCACCATGGCACCGAGACATTTACATACTTCATTATAGTAGTGTTACTGGTATATATATTTTATTAAATTACAACTAAATATTGTTCAAGTTAAATGCCATAGGCGGTTACCGGTCAACCTTGGTACCGACGCACGGGCAAATATCAAAAAATGTTTCGTAAGTTAATAAGCCTATAAATGAAAGGCCTACTTACATTGTAATTCTTTCCACATATTTTTATGTATAATAAAAACAGGATTTAATATTGAAAATATTGCATTATTGCTTTATTTGTATCAAGTTCTGTCAGCGCGTTCAATCGTTCCACATGAAAAGTAGCCTATGTAGGTATTATTCCCAACAAGAACATCTCTTTGCCAACGTCCTTCAAAAATCATACTGAATGGTTTACGTGAAAAGGTAACATACATAACAAACTTTCGTTTATAATATTAAATTGGTCGAACATCTAAGAATTCAGATCAGAACTGATCTCCATAACTAATTTACAGGTGCAGGAAGTTTCTCAAATGGAGGCCACGTACCTGCAAGCGTTGAGCAGGACGTCCACTCACAAGGTGGACGGACAACCTAATTTAGGTTCCAAAGGGCCGGTGGATAGAGGCAGCTTCCTACCGGGCTATCTAGAAATCATTTAAGAAGGCCTAAGCCAGCCACTAAGCAGTCATTTGTCTGATATGATAATAATAACATGCGTATATTAATTTAATTAAAGCACTTGTAAATTGTTATCTAAACTGCAAATCTTAAGATCTGTCACATATTTATTGTACAAGTCAAGTCAGTATCGGTCAATATCTCCAATAAGATTACCTTAAAGATTTTGGCTTTGGTTCCGTTTTAAATTTCTAATGTAGATAGAAAAGTGACTGTTGTTTTTTTGTACTCTATACTATATAAATATAGTCATATAATTTATGTCATATATTGCCTGCTTGGATGTCCTAGATGGTGCCACAGCAGTTCTGAAACGGAATGGGATAGCCTCTTTAAAAAATGATTAGGGATGGCTATAATCCAACTCCTATGCAGTTGCTGTGTTACGACCTAAGTCAGAGATTGAAGCATTCAATAAAAAGGCTAATTATGTTATTACAGGAATGTCCAATTGAACTGTTTGGCTGTTACAGATACATACAATATTAACATATTAGATACACTTAATTCGCCCTAAACTTTGGGTTTCTTATTATCACACTATAAGGTACAACTTCTTCTAATCAAGTGCAGATGCGTGAGATCCCAGTCCCGCCCTTTTTCTCACTTTACTTTGTAATTGAGTGACAGCAAAATGTTAGATTAACAGAAAAGTGCTACTTATCGCGGCTAGATGGAGCTTTCTTAACTTTCTCGTTTGTTTACAAATAATAGTTCACAACGATCTTGGACTAAGTATAGTTATCCGCATTAAAGTTTTTAGAAACTGTATAATGTTGAAGTGTTGGGCTGTTGCACGGTTAGCATTTAAGTATACCGTCTAGACAGCGTGAAGCAAGCATTTACGTTATGTTTCGCCGACTGCCGCGGTTTACCGGAGTCCCAGAACCCCCCACCCCCAATCCTCAATCCTCTAATCCATAGGAGATTTGACTATTACCTTACCTTAAATCCCTTATAACCCGCAAGATGCCGATAACGCACTAGTAACTCCTTCGACGAGTGTCCATGGGCGGCGCTGATTGCTTATCATTATGCTATCCGTCTGCTCGTTTGCCGACATATTTATGACAAAAAAATTGTATTATTACATTTAGCTTATATGGCAAGAGTTCTAAGGCAAAGGAAAAACTGGTACGGTAACTATGGCAAAGTATTATTTAATCATTTGGACTTTAAAAAAGACAGCGACCTTTAAGATTGCTTTCGCACTTCTTCTCAGGGTTGTCAGATAAGTTTGTTAGTCTAAAAGTTTTGATTTGATGAATATATTAGTTAACTCGCTCAAATTAATGACATAACTTTGAAAAATAAATCGATAATCACGCTAGGAATCAGCTTTATTAAACATTTTTTTTTGTGAGGGGAAAATCATCAAATGACTTGTTACGCCCAGGGCCGGGCGGGAGGGAGTTTCAGACTTTTACTGACTAAAAACCCCCCTGTTCCTTCTCCTGCCCTGGGCCGAGGTCGCGGTGCCTCATTGCGCTTACCCCGCAACCCCGGCTGTTTATTAAACATTGCCTTCCATTTTTCGCCTGCGTCGTCGCCAAACATACCAATACAAATGAACATCACACCTAGAATTCGCACAAAAATAATCCCTAAAACGTAATCAGTAGCTAATGCAATTACGAAAGTATTCACACAATTAATATGACGCGGGCTAATGCAACCACCTCTGCTTACATCATACGACTATGATTGATATCGATTGATAGATAGCACGCTTCGTTATTCATTCTATTCTCTTTCATATTAAGCGTATTATGCATACTTTGAAATCAGTTGCTAATTTTGTTGTGTTGATTCGAAAATTTGCTGTCAAAATCAGTTAATAATAAAAATAAGTTTGATAATATATGTGTCTAGTCGCATACCTCTTGAATGACTGCGTAAAATTGAATAAATTACTTTTTTCCTTGTTATCTATACTTATATTATAAAGAGGTAAAATTTGTAAGTTTGTATATGTAGGGGGTAATCTTTGAAACCGCTCTGGTCGGATTGCCAAACTTCTTTCACAGATAGATAGCTGCAATATTCCTGAGTGCTGCT